AGCTGTCTTCTAACTTCGAGAGGCCATGGTTCAAAGCTACCCGGAACGGATAGCTCTGATACCAATTGATAGGATTGGATCAGATAATAATAGAAAAAGAAAGAAACAAAGGATTTTGGCCCAGATAAATCTGGATTTTCTATATTGAAATAAGAAAACATTACAACTATGTATGTGAAGAGGGGAAATTACAGAAAGACAATTACAACTGGCAGCTACAGTTTGCAGAAAGAAAGAAATACGAATAACAAAGGTGCAGCACATTCGAGAGGTGCAGCTCTCTCCCAAGTCCAGTCCCAAATTCCAGCCTCCTCTAGCTCTATTTAACAAACTCCTATAACCATCTTGCCACCTCAGCAATGATTATTCCTCCCTTCTAACAGAATTGCATCCTTAAGGGGGGGTGTTGTTATCTACAATAATCCTGAAAGCTATTAAGTTACCCTTGGTGTCGTATCAATATGAAATATTAATTTTTTAATTATATAGGCAGGTCAACCCACCAACCCGCTATTAAATAGGGTGGGTTGAAATTTTTAACCCACTTTCCTAAACGGGTTGGGGCAGGTTGGCCCGTTTTGCCAGGTCTACTATCCCTCCACTTGCGAGCTCCTATGTTGTCATCTCTAGCCGTCCTAGTGTATACATTCTTAATTAGAGGGATATCATGTTGTAGAAAATTAGAATTCAAACATGTTTCCGTTTTTATTTCCTATTAATTAGGATTGATTATGATTGATTAGGATTGATTATGATTGATTAGAATTGATTGTGATTAGGATTGTGATAGGATTGATTAGTCATCGCTTAGTCATTCTTAGCGATTCTTTCTTGTATAAATACTCACTCATGTAATTTATTCAATATCAATATACAAAAACTTCTTTTCAATATGGTATCAGAGCGGGTTCGTTCCTACCCTAATTCAAATCTGAAATAACCATCCAAACACTTCCATCACCGTCAAACACCTCCTAAACACCGCCTTGAATCTGTCCAACACAGAAACCTAGTTTACTGACCTCCGATCAAAAAAGTGAGGTGACCATTCGACTCAGAAGGATACGACGAGTCGACCACCGCTGGACCCATCGCCGTCAGCCGCTGCACGCGCCACCACGCGCCGCCTTCCAGACGTTTTTTTTTCCGTCGCGACTTGCACTGACCTTCTCGCCGGCTTCTCCCCTTCCTGTTCCAGAGGTCAGATCAAAAGTTTACAAAACTTGATTTTTCATCAACGGTCAACCCTTCTCTTTTTATTCATGGCTTCCTCAAAACACTCTTTTTATTACCACGAGCAACCTCCTAAGGCCACTAGTCATGTGGTCCATCAAGGTACAACTTTCCATGTTGATAGTCAAAATCATTGGATCCTTGATTCTGGAGCCTCTGATCATATGACAGGTAATCTTGGCTTGTTTTGTTCATACACTCCATATTCTGAACCTTCTCGGGTCAAGATCGCCGATGGCAGTTTTTCCCAGATTGCGGGACACGGAACCATTAAACTTTCTGAGCTGATTACTTTGACATCAGTTCTTTATGTTCCTTCTCTGACTTGTAATCTCATTTCCATTAGCAAGCTCACCTCTGAGTTGCATTGCTTTGCTAAATTCTTTCCACATGGTTGTGTTTTTCAGGAACAGGACTCGGAGAGGATGATTGGCAGTGCTAGAGAGGATGGTGGACTTTACTACTTTGAGGAGGATGTGAATCATGAAGCTGTTTTCGTAGAAAAAAACTCTATGTTTCCTTTTGATTCATGTAATGATGTTATGCTGTGGCATCGTAGGCTAGGCCATCCAAATTTTATTTATCTTCAGAAGTTGTTGCCAAACTTATTTATTAATAAAAGTCCAAGTTTGTTTTCTTGTGATATTTGTCAACTTGCCAAGCATACTCGTGCTCATTATCCTTCTAAAGTTCACCATGACTCTTCCCCATTTTCCTTAATTCATAGCGACATATGGGGTCCAGCCCGTGTTAAAAATATTTCAGGTACTCGATGGTTCATTACCTTCATTGATGACCATTCTCGAGTTTGTTGGGTGTATCTTCTAAAGGATAAGTCCGATGCTGCATCCGTGTTTAAAAAATTTCATGCCATGGTTCAAACCCAATTCCAAGTTGCTATACAAATTCTTCGTACAGATAATGGCAAAGAGTATTTTAACTCTATTCTTGGAGAATATCTTTCCCAACATGGCATCCTTCACCAAAGCTCGTGTCCTGACACACCCCAACAAAACGGAGTTGCGGAAAGAAAAAACCGACATCTCCTTGAAGTTGCTCGGGCTCTTATGTTTACCACGAGTGTTCCTAAATATCTTTGGGGAGAGGCAGTTCTCACTGCCTCGTATCTGATAAATCGAATGCCATCTCGCATTCTGAAATTTCAGTCTCCTCTTTCTAGTCTTGTTCGTATCTTCCCTTCCTTCCGAGGTGTCTCCTCCTTACCTCTCAAGTTATTTGGTTGTGTTGTATTTGTCCATATTCCCTCCCATCAACGGTCTAAGCTTGATCCTAAGTCTCTCCAGTGTGTCTTTATTGGTTATTCTCCTACTCAACGTGGCTATAAGTGTTATTCACCCTCTCTTCGTAAGGTCTTTGTCTCTATGGATGTCACTTTTTCTGAGAATGACCCTTTCTTCCCCTCGACTTCTCTTCAGGGGGAGTCTATAGGAGTAGATGAAGATCAGTCATGGGAACCTATTAATGCCACAGTATTACCTCTACTTTTGGAAACAGGGGGAGCTACAGAATCCTCACCATCAGGAGCCTCCTCAACATGGGGACAAGTTTATAGCAGGCGAAAGCCTCCTCAAAGTGTGAATAACCAAGAGCCTCTACACTGCCAGGATTCTGAACCATGTTCTAGTTCCAGCACCCCAATACTTGAGTGTCATGGTGAAAATGATCTACACTTGCCCATTGCTCTCAGAAAAGGTACTCGATCTTGTACTACTCATCCTATTTCTAATCATATTTCATATGGAAAGTTGTCCCCAGGGTTTCGTGCTTTCAATACTATGTTGGATAGTACAAAGATACCGAGAAATATACATGAGGCTCTCAATGATAAAAAATGGAGGGATGCTGTCTTTGAAGAAATGAATGCTTTAGAAAGAAATGGAACTTGGGAGATAGTGACCCTACCCAAAGGAAAAAAGGCAGTAGGATGCAAATGGGTGTTTACAATAAAATTCAATGCAGATAATAGCATCAACAGATACAAGGCAAGATTGGTTGCAAAGGGTTTCACTCAGACTCATGGGATAGATTATCATGAGACTTTTGCTCCGGTTGCTAAAGTCAATACCATCCGAGTTCTCTTATCTCTTGCTGCCAATCTAGATTGGCCTCTGCAACAGTTAGATGTGAAGAATGCATTCCTAAATGGTGACTTACATGAAGAAGTCTATATGGATCCTCCACCTGGTTTTGAAAGGGGAAATGAATCAGTGTGTAAACTAAAAAAGTCTCTATATGGATTGAAACAGTCTCCCAGAGAATGGTTCGACAAATTCACACAAGCAGTCAAAAGAAGAGGCTTCATTCAAGCACAGACTGATCATACTCTCTTCCACAAACACTCTAAGGATGGTAAAATTGCTATTCTTATTGTATATGTAGATGATATAATTCTTACAGGTGATGATATTGAGGAATTGAACACCTTGAAGAAATTTCTAGCAGCTCAATTTGAACTCAAAGACCTTGGCACTCTCAAATATTTCCTTGGTATGGTTGCTAGGAGCAAAACAGGCATCACTCTAACACAAAAGAAATATGTTCTAGATCTTTTGTTGGAAACAGGAATGTTAGGGTGTAAACCTGCTGAGACACCTGTGGAACCTAATACCAAGTTAGGTATTGAAGATGGGAATGAGGTGGATAAAGAACAATATCAGCGATTGGTTGGTAAACTAATCTACTTATCTCATACGCGTCCTGACATTGCCTTTGCGGTGAGTATGATTAGTCAATTCATGCACTCACCCAAGGAGAAGCATCTTAGTGCAGTCTATAGGGTGCTTAGATACCTCAAGAATACTCCAGGAAGAGGATTATTCTTTAAAAAGGGGTATAAAAGGACAATTGAAATCTACACTGATGCAGATTGGGCAGGCTCATCAGTAGACAGAAGATCTACCTCAGGCTATTGCACCTATGTGTGGGGAAATCTTGTTACTTGGAGAAGCAAAAAGCAAACAGTGGTTGCAAGAAGTAGTGCTGAAGCAGAATTTCGAGCTTTAGCTCATGGAGTTTGTGAAGGAATCTGGTTAAGAAGACTTCTTCAAGAGTTGAAGATTTCATATTCCCTACCAATAAAACTATATTGTGACAACAAGGCAGATGTTAGCATTGCTCAAAATCCTGTGCATCATGATCGAACAAAGCACGTGGAAGTTGATCGTCACTTCATCAAAGAAAAATTAGATGATGGAAGTGTGCATTTGATATATGTTCCAACCAAAGAGCAAACGGCAGATGTCCTTACCAAGGGCCTACACCGTCCAGCATTCGAAGACTTGATTGGCAAGTTGGGAATGATCAATATTTACCTCCCAACTTGAGGGGGAGTGTAGAAAATTAGAATTCAAACATGTTTCCGTTTTTATTTCCTATTAATTAGGATTGATTATGATTGATTAGGATTGATTATGATTGATTAGGATTAATTGTGATTGATTAGAATTGATTGTGATTAGGATTGTGATAGGATTGATTAGTCATCGCTTAGTCATTCTTAGCGATTCTTTCTTGTATAAATACTCACTCATGTAATTTATTCAATATCAATATACAAAAACTTCTTTTCAATACATGTTGAAACTCATCTATTACTTGACAAGCATATGCCATTCCAACCAAGGAAAAAAATATCAATTACAGATGCACTGTTTTCTGTCCTGGACTTAATTTCAGATGCATCTCAAGATAACTAAATAATATATACAAAAAACAATTAGCAGAAAAAGATCGGACAAAGGCAACACCTTCTTTTGGCCTTGCAACTGAACTACTAGGCTTATCTTCAGCTTTTTCTGCTGGCAAATTGGATTTTAGATTTACATCCAAAATATCTACATTCTGATTAGAGTTTTGCTGAATACCAGTTGGCCTCATCTCAGCTTCACTAACCACAGAAATGGGCTTACTACTTCTAGAGTTATAATCTGCATAACCTGCAAGAGATCACCTTCTTTGTCAACTATACACGAACTATTCATGTGTTCTGAATTGCAAGCAATCCAATTGGAATTTGAAAGTCTATTACTGCAAAATATGGTATATTCATTCAAACATTGCACTGATCTGATCTCAAACATTCAAACATCAACAATGAAGTAAATTACCCTGACTTTCCTTGAGGTTTATGAAACCTATAAAAATAGTTAGTTTTGGGTATTACACTGATCACCCTTGATGGTTTATTTCAATTGCATGGAAATTGGTATGGAGGGAGTGTCCATGTTTGCAAATTATTTCTCCAGATAAAAATGTCTGGAAAAAATTTAACAGGAGGTCTATGCATCATGAAATTCAAAAAGAAGGTAAGAAGTGCAACATTCAAAACTAGAAGGGTTGCTTTTGCAAGTTTTCCAAATATTGTAGGTGAATGTAATTTACTCCATCAAGTATAGTCCTCACAGATAATTAGAAGTCAATAATGTACTGGCCTTGGGAGGAGAGGGTTAACGATAATGATCATCAATATAACAATGTACTTATTTATCAATAATAGTGTGCTAATGATAAGAATTGCTTGATTGTGAACAGCAGTGACTAAAACCAAAAACAAAATGTCCATGAAAAGCAGTGCATGCACTAGCAAAGAAGAAATAAAGAAAGACAGAAGATGTTCCTTTTGACCTGAGGAAGATCCAACCTGGAGCTTTACAAATGGAGGAGGACCACCTGTATCACCATCCTCTCGCTGTCTTAAAGAAGATCGGGAGAATCCTGAATATTTTTTGTTCATCTGCCATTCTTCATAGAGTGATTGAACAACACCTCCCAATACAGTCAATACTTTAGGATTTAAGCAAACTATACCATTATGAACTACAACTTTACTTTCCAGACGGATCTGCACAACGGAAATACAACAATAGCATCATAAAAAGGTCATAGTAATTTAAGACTACACACATACAGGTTCACAGAATAAAAACATAACAGAAAATGAGAGAAAGCAATAGATCACATAATTACATTGGTATCACTGAGTCACATACTGCAACAGAAAGCAAGATCAACAACCAAGGCAAATTTATAATGATCAACAAAAAAATAACTGTATGAATCAAAATAGTCCAAACATGCATCTACTCACAGCAAATCCCGCAATCAAAATCTGCATGGCAACACATTAATCAATCTAATTTACTAAAAGTTTATTATAGAATTACGAATGCCAAGAGAAATTATGCGATGCCTTCTGTCAACAATCATACGAGACTTCATATGCAGTTGCAGCAAAAGAAACAGTAAACATTGTTACGAGATACTCAAGCTCGCACAGCACGTGAAGTTTTTAGGAATTTAATTATAACATAATATCGTTTCTGGTTGTAACGGAATATTGTTATTTTATTATTTGTACGTTAGATAGCTTAGGTTAGCTTAGCCTGCCTTTTCTTTTTTTTCTCTTTCCGTTGTTCTGCACAGCTATATATAACTTCTGCTATCTGTACCTCTTATTCATATTTTATCAATACATTCAATTAAGCTTTTGCACGATAAGAAACATAGAAAGAATGGCATTACCTTAGTACCCGGAACCACATTATCGGGCATAAATGGAATGTGAGAATATTCTACAGCAGTTATCTCGGAGTGACCATCAGTGAGACATAATCTAAGAAGTCTTCGAGCACCTGAATTTCTTGAAATGTCATCCACACTGCCCTGAGATATATCCTTCACTGAAGATATCTGCCAAAACCAATAAAACCTAATCATTATCCGATTTCGTTTTTGAAGAAATTAAATAAAAAAAACATGAGCAACAACACCAACCCAGAACTTTATTCCGTTAACAAAGCTACACACACAGTTTTCATAAGCTCACTAATCTTATTTTCTTTAGAAAAAAAGAAATCAAAAAAAGGAGAAATGAAAATAAGGGTTTGGGAGGGCTAGTAATTTTGCCTGAAGGACTTTGGGGCCGTGAAGATAGGAAGAAGGGTTGCGAAGAAGAGACGGTTCGGGCAACGACTTGGATCCGAACGATCGAATATCCGAATTGAGGAGCTCCAACTCCACAGAATCTGCCACCTTAGAACGGTCCTCGGCTAGTGCGGATTGAATAACGATGATGGCCTTCAATTGGTCTGTGTCTTCCAAAAACCAACCTCTTCTTCTTAGGGTTTCTAACACCATTTCTGGTTGTGAAGCATTCGAATTCGTCTCCATTTCAAGTGTACTACTTCAACTTCAACTGTCCTCGTGCCTCTGGACAGAATGCACTGCTTTGCAGAATAAGAACGCTATTGGGCTCGGGTAAATATAAGCAACAAAAAGAACACACAAGCCCCCCCTTTTTTTTTCGTTTTTTCCCCTGCTTCTCTCCCCTTTTCTTTTCTTTTTTATAAACGCTTCTCTCCCCCGTTTATAGAAGAATAAAATAAGGAAAAAAATATTTGTCATTTAAATAATATAAAATTATTAAAATAGGGATAGACACAAAATAATATTTTTTATTTAAAATTTAAATTAAAAAAATCACCTATTTTTTTTTCATGATTTTTATTTCTTGTGTCTATCTCTCTTCTAAAATTACATAACTTATGTCCTTTAAAATGACAAACATCAAATCCATAAAATAAGTTTGTTTTATTAGATTGTTTATATTTTTGTTTCCATATATATCCTTTTTTAACTTCCAATCAAGGTAGTTAAAATTAATTTTTTACTTGAAAATAAAAGGGGATAAAAAATTGTAAAATGTAAAATTATAATAAAAAAAATCGAAAAATAAATGTTTAGAATGTTGATAAAAATATTTTTTTTTTTTTTTTGATAACAGATAAAAATATTTTGATGAAAAAAAAACATATAAACTCAATTTTAAAACAAGTTTTTAACTATCATGCTTCCAATTATAATTTTAACCTTCATCACCATATTATAAAATCTGGCACATTCATTGCTCAGTTAAAATATTTGGTTATTAGATCATTAATTCAGCATAATAAATTTTACCCCATTTCTTGATTATTCATTCGTGTGCATCTAATGATTGTAATTCATTATAAATTAATAATTAATTAAAGAGTGAGACTCAATAAATTATAAATGTTATATGTACAGAAATCAGCTATTAAAATTTGGTATAAAACTTAAGGTGTGTATGACAACCTTCCTGTAATCATTTTCTTTTTAATTTCTGTTCCCGGGAACAGAAATGGATAAAAAACTCGTTTGGTATAACCGATTTATTTTTTTGTTTCCGGGATTAGGGGAGGACCTACATGGGGGGATAGGGTGGGCCTCTTTCCCCCTCTAAAATATGAAAATATGTTCTAAAAAGCAAAATTTTGGAAGTGATTTTAAAAAGTGAAAGGCAAGGGACGCTATTCATAAAAAAATGTTCTACCCATTCATTGCACCCAATCAGAGATAACTGTTATTTACCGGATTTAACCTGCCAGCATATATGACAGATTTGTTCTTGATATGCTAACCTCCTCAATCAATGTGGAAAGCTGACTTTTCCGGTATATACAAAGAAGAGTTCAGTTAGTAATGCATATTCACTCTACTTATCAAATTTGTCTAGAATTTGATTTTATATTGATTGATTATCTAATTTTCTTTTTATAATCATTAAAAATTTGTACAGATTTTCATATCAAAACTCAGGAGAAAAGTATTTAAGTTTTGACTTTGTTGACAAAGAAACAATGTCAGTAATAGTTATCAATTATTAGTTGGGACTAAATGCAAAAAATAAATAATACATTAATTAATTTACTGTGTCTTTTTCTAAATAACATCTAAGTAAGAAAATAAGATTCCAAAGAAATCAAAGAAAGTGCAATTATAACACCAGAATGCATGAAGGTAAACAATAAAAATTTGATCTTACAAACAAAATATAGGGTCTTAAGGCTAGTTCCTCATTGAAATAGAGGGTGCATTGGACCACTGTCACCTGAAGCAAAAAGTTGACATTCCAACCAAAAAATTGGCAAAATTTTTTGTAATTTCATTATGCTCTTCTTAACAGGTATTTTTGTATTCTTAGCGTGATCATCCAACCAAAACTAACATTTCCTTTTCATAATAGTAATATAAATTTTCGCCCCTCGTCACATAATTTCCTGGGTCCGCCATTACCCGGGATGAACCGGTTTATTTTTTTTGCGGGGAAACAAAAAAAAGTATAAAAAATTGGGTCTGATTGATAATGTTCTGGTTTTTTTGTTCTTAAAACAATTTTGTAGAATAGTTTATAAAAATAATTTTTCAGAATAAAATAAGGAAAAAAATCTGTTTGATAAATTTGTTTTGAAAAGAGTTTTAAAAATTAAAGAACAAAAAAATCTACTTGGTAAATTTGTTCCCAGAACATGTTTTCAAAACAAAAAAAATGAAAAAAACTAGTTTGATTGGTAACTTTTTTTTCATTTGGTAATTTTTTTTATATTAACTTATTTTACTGATTTCTATAATTATATGTAAAAACTCAAATATATTTCAATGAAATATATTTTTAAGATCAAAACAAATTATATTATAGTTCTTTTATAAAACCAATGCAAATCATATTACAATTTCATCATTTTAAGCTGTTATCTCCCACAAGATTATTATATAAGTTTCTATATGCCAATTAACTATAATTGTAACAAACCAAAATTAATCTAGTCAAGGCCAATATGTATACTAACTAACACATATATAAATAAAAGTTAGGGTTAATGGGCTAATAATCAGCACATACTTACATTGAGTCACTTGAAAATTGCTTATCCAAAAGTGTATTTCCAGAAACTTGCCTAACCACTCAATTTTTCGTTCTGAATCCATTTTCAGGGTTAGTTTTCTCATTTGATACCTCCTACTCAATTTTTCTTTCCTAGGGTTACGTGTTTGGAAAATTACCATTTTACCCCTCTTATGCATTTTGACCCGAAATTCAGGATTTTCACTAATCCTACCTCTTAATCCACATTTTCATATGTAATCATATGTTTTAGAAATACGAGATGTTATACTTTTCGTCCCCCCCTGCACCTCTATTTGATACAAGTTATGACCAATGTAAATCTAAAGCTTTGGTTTGACAGCAAAAAACAAGCTTGGAAACTCAACATGGGACAACAAAATTTGCATTACAATACAGATTTATCCAACAGTCATATTGCCTATAGATTAATACATAAGAGTTAATGTGAAAGTGACAAAAGTATGCAGACCTGTTGTGCAATGTAAGCAATTTATATAATAATCTTATGTAAGATACCAACTTAAAATACTTATGTGAATCAGCAGCAGTAGTAGGATATAGAGTTAGACCTTAGGAGATAGAGTATCACCAGCTTTCTCATATTCCATAGTGTCTACTGTTCATCTGTAGAGCCCCTCATTTTTCGAATCCCTTCAAGCACCTTTTCCCAGTGAGCAAGTGATTCACCTACATGTATGAACTGCAAAATTTAAACTTCCTAAAATAAGGAAACTACTATGGTAACAGTTGAAAACCAGAGAACACATAAAAGAAGCATTTCCTACAGTTAGCAAATTTGCTTCTCTGTATGACAGAACCTTCAATCTCAGACAGGCCAAACTTCTACATAGTGGAGAACTAACACAACATCAGAATCTACTCTTAGTAGATTGCACTTGTAGTTAAACGATTTACATTGCAAGTTAAAGTGTTTTCATCCATAAAAACATAGCCAAAAACACAGTTAAGGTCTTTATACACTAAATAAATGTATAAACACTTACCACATATGCCAAACTAAATAAATCATTCATAGGGGACAAAAAATTAAAAAAAAAAACTAAAATAAAAGAAAGACCTACCTAACCTATATCAGTTACTCCCAAAAAAGTATAAAAAAATAAATGATTGTGAATAATGTTAAAATTTTCAACTTAGTGGTTGCACCTAAGCCGCGAATCAAAGTGTATTTTTTTCTTCATGACAGTTGATCAGTTATTATTAGAATTCAATACTATTAAAAAATTTCTATCATAGCTATCACCATAGTCTTCACCTCTCATTAAATTAGTTGGTGACTTTTTAAAACAAGCCATATCAGCTTTTCCCACATCCACAAATTGTGAAAAAGGCTCCTCTTAATAACAACACCAAGTATGACCCACCGGCCCAGACCCATTCTCAAGATTGGGTTTTCAACTTTGCCGCTAGTCTTGCCACCCTGCTGGAAAAAGTTCTTCGGTGGGCACAATCAGAGCTCTACAACTGGCGCAGATTTGGCATGAGCGTGATAGAGATGAGCCACAGGGGCAATGAATTCCTTTCCATAATCTAGAAAGTGAAGGCAGATCTACGTACCTTTTTGGAAATCCCGTGGAATATTGGGAACAGTGACTAATGTACCACACATTAGACACTTTTTTACCAGTATGCCATGTGAATAGTAACATTTGCCAAAATGCCACGTGTCCAAGTTCGCTACAGCAGTTAGCGAACTCGGTTTGCTGACGTGGCATGTTTCTAGTGATCACCTAGTTCGCTATTTGGTGTAGCGAACTAGGTGGCAATAAATACCTCTCTGCTCTGACAAAAACTGTACACATGGCAGTGTCATACAAGTTCGCTAGAGGTGATAACGAACTAAATAAAAAAACTATTGAAATATGTGTCTGACGCGCATAAGCTCACTACACTAAGTAGCGACCTACATGCAACCTTTTATTTACTTCTAATTACTTTTGCAGAGTTGCTGCCAAAGAGAAATGATGCCCTTACATCTATCTATGCCTGACCCCTACTCATCAAAAAGTGCATATAAAGTTTTCAACACCTTTTAAATTTCCAACACTTTACGCTGACCCCTTTAGCTTCCTAGTAGATGATGCTATTATATAGCTACATGGTGGTTGTGTAGACATGGGATGCTTTATTATGATTGAGTGACAGGCAGTATTTTTTAAATAAAGGTGGCTTTGCCATTACAAATTATGATTTATGTTGAACATATTTCGCTACTTAGTGTAGCGAACTTGTGCATGTCAGACACATATTGCAATGGTTAATTTTACCTAGTTCGCTATAACCCCTAGCGAACTTGTGTAACACTACCACGTGTCCAGCTTTTGTTATAACAGAGGGGTATTAATTGCCACCTAATTCGCTACACCTAGTAGCGAATTAGGTGGCCACCAGAAACATGCCACATTAGCAAATCGAGTTCGCTGCCTGCTGTAGCGAACTCTGACATGTGGCCCTTTGGCAAATATTACTGTTCGCGTGGCATGTTGGTAAAAAGTTACCAATATGTGGTACATTGGTCACTATTTCAGAATATTTCTTCTTGTTTCTCCAAGATA